GTCATGTAAGGTGGCATATATTCTTTACTCTGTCCCGTTGTTTGCGTATATCCTGAAACGAAATGTGTATGGTTTCCTTCTCCCTGCGTGTCATCCCAGTAACAATTTATAGCAAACTTAACGTCGTCTTTAACATCATATCCTTTACCTTTTGTCATTCCTGACCAATCCCAATATCTATGCTTATGCCAACCTGCTTGAGATGTACTTAAATCTATGTAGTGACTATGTGCAGGTAAGTTTTCACCTGAAATCGTTTTACTTCCACCTGTTTCCTTTGAAGAGTTTGCACAATACAAAAACCTGTCGACTATTTGTTCCCATGCACCAACACCAAACATTACTTGAGGACCTCTTGCTTCCATAGATGTATAAATAGAACCTACTGGGTTCATTAAATCAAACATATGAGATATTATAGGATTGTCTCTTTTGAACTTAAAATATAGTGCAACTATTTCAGGTTTCTTCTGGTTCATGTCAGAATATTTTTTATAATATAATCTTATGTTTTCAGGGTAGGTAAAGTCTTGACTATAATATTTATTTCTGTCATCTGTATAATAGTATACTATTCTCGTTTTTTCTATTGCATTATATCTTTTATATCTATAAAAATCTAAATATAATGTTAGCTTTTGTTCATCTACATGTGGTGTTCTTTCGTCATCTCCATAGTCATAATAATATGGTGCTGGAGCTGGGTCAGGCAATGTCATATCTGTCATTTCATAAACTCTTAAATATTTCTTTTGTTCGTCTCCATATAAGTTTAAGTAACAGTTGTTGTCTAATGGAACTTTAACTTGTGTACCATCGTTCTTTTTATAGCTTACATACATTTCATTGTTATTTTTCGGAATGAGTTTATACCGTGTACCATTTTCTAAGGACTGTACCAACTGCCATCTAAAATATTTATTTTCTTCATTGACAGAAAAGTCACCAACAATAGTTTCAATATTTTTTGTTCCAACTAAACTTTGGTATATTTCATTGACATATGTTTTATCTGCTTTCTTTTCAAGGCTAACGTTTAAGTCTGTTATTTCAGAAGATGTATGTGTATGTCCAACGTCACTTTTCCTGTTTAAGGTTTCTTGTAAGTTTGTAATATTTGCAATGGTATGTGTATGTCCAACGGCACTTTTACTGTTTAAGGTTTCTTGTAAGTTTGTAATATTTGCAATGGTATGTGTATGTCCAACGGCACTTTTACTGTTTAAGGTTTCTTGTAAGTTTGTAATATTTGCAATGGTATGTGTATGTCCAACGGCACTTTTCCTGTTTAAGGTTTCTTGTAAGTTTGTAATATTTGCAATGGTATGTGTATGTCCAACGGCACTTTTCCTGTTTAAGGTTTCTTGTAAGTTTGTAATATTTGCAATGGTATGTGTATGTCCAACGGCACTTTTACTGTTTAAGGTTTCTTGTAAGTTTGTAATATTTGCAATGGTATGTGTATGTCCAACGGCACTTTTACTGTTTAAGGTTTCTTGTAAGTTTGTAATATTTGCAATGGTATGTGTATGTCCAACGGCACTTTTACTGTTTAAGGTTTCTTGTAAGTCTGTTATTTCAGATATAGAATGTGTATGAGTCTTTTTAGAATATTCGTTTTCAGCTCTTGTCACTTCACTTGACATTTTATTGTCAACATATGTTTTGTCTGCTAGTTCAGGATGAGTATGTTCTTTTGTTGCATAAGCTTTGTTAGCTCTTTCTTCTTCTTTTGCTATTGCATCGTCTACATACTCTTTGTCAGCTTTGTTGCCAACATCTGCTTTCAAAAGAAGTTCATCTATAGGTTTCTCGTTTAAAGTTCCTTTTGTTGGATTTACACAGACAGTATGGTTCTTATTGTCTTGAAACAGAAACTCATCTGTCATTGGGTTTATTGTCAGTTTTAAGTTTCCTTCTTTCAATGACTCAGATATCTTAGAATAGTTTGAAAAGTTTGTTGTGTTCTTATTTAGAGCTTGCATAATGAGTTGTCGGTTGTGTTGTATTTCTCTCATAGACGCTGTTTCATTTGACATTTTTATTCTAGATAAAATATGCTTCCAATAGAAAAAGAAAATTCAAGAGTTGCTACAACTAAACCATTAGATGAACTTTTTACTAATGTCGGTCAAAAGTTTGAGACAGAGACCGTAAAGCATGAAGGCTATCGTTTTGACTACCCATTAAGATGGCTAAGAGACCCATCTGTCACAAAAGCTATTGGCTTTCGTAGAATGAAGTTTGTGTCTGTAGAAGATAAAAGTTTTCCATTTATTGTAAGGTTTCATATAGATTATATATCTGAAGGGAAACGAAAAATGTGGGAAGAAATTGAGCTAATACAAGTTGACCTTTCATCTTCTCTACAGACTGCGTTAAAAAATATAGAAGATAAAATAAATTCATGTTATGCAAAATATGCTGATGAATATGCAAATACCGAGAGCACACTTTATGTGAGAATTGTATATGACAAACAAAATTCACAAGTGTCATTTCAAATCTACGAAGACAATCCAAAGAAAGACGAACAAATATATACAGAATTCACTGCAATGTCATGGTATTATTTGCAAAGAATGTTAAATCAGAAAGTCGAACTTCCTTTAGCAAATATTTACAGTCGATATGCAAGAGATGAACCATATTTATTTAAAGATGTTTTCGACCCAGCTGCTATTATTGTTCATGCTTCATTTTCTGGCGCCCAAAACTCTTTCTTATGCTTGGCAAATGACTTTTACGAAAAACCTACAAAGTTATACGAACCACCAAGTGGAAGTATTTCAGACTTTCAAGTATGGTTTACTACAGATGGAAGAAAAAGAATAATTCCATTATACCATGCGTTTTACTTAGAACTTAGTTTCATATACAACTACTATCGAACGGTAAAAATATAATTTTTTAATACGGTTGAGGTGTTGGATTTGGTTGCCAACTAGACTGTGGTGCAGGTTCAGGCTGTTGTATAACAGGAGCTTGTTCTTCTGGTTCAGGGTCTTTAGGTATAATACCAACAAACTGACCTACTCTTTTACCAATATTTTTGACTCCGTTCCAAATTCCTCTTCCTACGGTTTTTATTCCATTCCATATACCTCTTCCAACATTTCGAAAGAAGTTTCCTATCTTACTGAAGAAACCCATTTTACTATATGTAAAAATCTAATGTCCGCCTAGTCTCTTACGTTTCCTGTTGAGTTCCATAGCATTCTTTAACTGGAGCTCATACATTCTGTTTCTCCTCTGGTAGAAAACATATTCTGGGTCAACTCCTGTGTTCGCGTCATCTGCATAAAGTTGTTTATATCCCACTTCAGGGTTTGTATAAAACTCTTTCCATCTCATATTTGCATACCATGGTGGCAAACCTAACGCAGCGTCATTTGACATGGCAGTTTGCATTTGTACATCTGTTGGCACTTGACCATAGTTTGCCATTGCAGTTTGTATTCTAACTTCATTTGGAATATTCTCTGGGTTTGGTTGTCCAGGTTGCTGTGCATTCGCTAAGTTCTGTGCGTCCATTTAATATTAGATAAAAATATCTCTTACGAGTACATATACTGAACATTTGCAGGCATTGGTTCATCTTCATATTCTCTGTACCTTTCTGCCACGTCAAATAAATAAATGACACAATGGAAAAAACCTAAAACTAACAATCCGATTTCAAACCACATTTACTTACTAATAAAATTTCTTTATTGTGACACTTTCTCCAGTTTATAGGACCTCTCTCATATTCTATCTTGTCATATCTAAACTCATAGTCATGTATGTCCTCTAACCATCTCATAACGGTTTCCAAACCACTTTTATCGGATGTAAAGTAAAAGCATGGATGGTTATGTAAAACGTCTAAAGTTTCTAAAGAGTCTCTCAAAGTCCAGTCTACTTGGTATTGAAAATCCCATGTGTTATAGAACGGTGGGTCCACTATAAAGAAAACATTTTCCTTGTCTTTATATTTTTCATACAAATCTGTCCAATGACATCTCACAAACTCTATACCCTCAATATATTTTTCTATGTCCTCTTTGAAAACATTTGTATAGTTAAGATATAAAACTTTTGACATAAGTGTTTCAATGTCATGAACTCTTATAGCACCACTATATAATAGTCTAGCAGATATACTATCCCAGTCTATATATTCTGCTTTTTTCAAAACCTCTCTCACAATATTTTTCTTATCTAATGGTATACGTTCCATCTTACCTATAGGTATCTTTTCTTTTAACTCTTTCAATATTTTGTTTGTGTCTGGTATATGTTTGAGACGGTTCATATAGTTGTCGAAGTCATTGCATATAATCTTTGAGTCTGGGAATACGGTATGGCACAAATGGGATATATAGAAACTTCCACCGAACAAATCTACAAATGTTAGACCATTCGGTAGTTTCTTAAGTTCTCTCAATATAATATCTTTACATTTACTCTTATTTCCAAAGAACGGTAACGGAGGTTTTGTAAAATTCATTTATATATAATAATAAAAATGTTTTTTCCTGAAAAGTGACAGAAAAGTGACAAAGCATGAAAACATATATAATTTGTGAAAAGCGACACATTATATAATGTTTTCGACCCAGAAGAAGGCTTCTTCCCAGAAGCAATGGAGGAAGAAGAAGAGTCCTCCGAATAAAAACTTCATTTATACTAAACATCAACATCAGGGCTAGAAGGCACGAAGTGCCTGGAAGCCCCACTACCTTTTTTTTTTTTTTTTTTTTTTTAATTCTTAAATTTTTGTAAATCTTGAAAATAAAAAAATGCCAACATAAATTTTTATAAAAAAATACCAAAAAAGTGACATAAAATGTTTTGATTGTCAACTTCAAGGGATTTTATATCCCTTGATAAAGATAATGTCTTCGCAATTTTAATTATACAATCTTTACACTTAAATAATATTATGTCCATATTAAATAAAAACTGTTCTTTGTGTGCTAAACGAAATTTTAGAAGTAATTCATTCAAATATTTTTATGGAATGTATGAAAATGAAACATTTATTAAGACAGTTCTTCGATTCAGGTCCAAATCTTGATACCTGGACACTTTTTTATGAGAATACAATTATCACTGAAAGTAACACTGAAAATGAAAAATTTAATCCAACAAAAGTAGGAAATTATTATGTTACAACATGTTTATTCAATGAATTTAAAGAAGTTGTTGTCTATATAGACAAAGGAGATCAAACAAAACTTCTTATTTCTATTTCTGGATTCAATGGCACAAAAACTCCATCTCAAACAGTTTATTCTAGATATGGAAGTTGTGTTATCTATCGAACATGTGCCACAAGATCTATTCAAACAAATTGGAATGAAGGAGTATTTTTATGTTCATATATGTCATCATCATCAACTTCAAACAACAAAAACATTTTTGAAGATTCAACAGTCTTTGATTGTGGAGAAATAGATAAAGGAGGTTCAATTAATTATTTATATTACGGAAATCTTAGTTATTCACGAAATAACATAACAAACAACAAATGTAAAGATGATGTTTCACTTGATATTTATTCAAAACACAAATACAACATCAGTCAATCATCTTTCATTGATAACAAAGCATACTCTAGATGCTTTTTTATTTGTTATAGTGGTTCACATCAAGTTTATTTATGTAATATCATTAGAAACAATGCTACTTCATATTGTTTTTCTTTATATCAAGCAACAGTTACATTTGAATCTTGTTCAATCAAAAATAATAATTGTCCACAAACATTTTATTTTGAATCACCAAATTCACCTACAATCATTAATAGTGATTATGATGGACAAAAATCAAATGCAACAACAAAAAATCCAACAAACAATTTATACAACACATTATCACATCTTTCTACAGGACTTTGTGAAGCAGAAAATAAAATTCAAAATAATTTTGAAGAAGAAAATAACATAAAAAAATTCAACCAAATGAAAAATTTTTGCGTCTCCCTTTGTTTAATCCATTACCAACGTAATTATCTTCTTAGCATTTCACAAATTTCAGCATATTCAATTTTATCATTTATAACATAATCTATCTTACAAAATATTTTAAAGTCATATCTTTATAATTAAAGTGTAAAAGATGCCAAACTTAACTTCAAACGCTCACTGATTCACAGAGAAAGGGCATGCTGGTTGTGGCTGGTATGGCAGCTTAATGAAGAACAGTTTGTATATCTTCAGCTGTTGCATTGGCTTCTGCGCCATGCAAGATAAGAACTTTGGCAGTTTCTATACTTTTTTATTATTATTATTATTAAATGAAGAGGAGTTATCATTTTCAAATATCTTGTATTGATTTCTGCACAATACAATATAAGAATTTCTGCTATTTCATGATAATCATGAATTGACGCTTCATGGAGAGAGGTATTAAAAATGGGTATTGATTTTACATTAACATTTGCCCCATGTTCAATAAAATATTTAACAGCATTTTAAATCCATATTTTGAAGCAGCATAAATCACTGTTTTAGTATCACTTCTGCTTGCATTTATCGATGCACTATGTGCAATTAAATAATCGAAAAGAGGCGGGAGATTAATCGCTGGCGAATAAATAATACATTCATTGTATTTTTGTGTTTGATCTAAATAAACTAAGTATGCTTGAAGATTATGAAATTATTGCAGTTGTGCATGTAAGTTATAAAAGTGACATTAATACATTATCTTTGAGATTGGATCCATTTAGATAACCATTAATTTTTCTTTACGCTCTTTTCAAAAAAAAAATCATACAAATGCCCATTTTCAGAGATATTGTAAAATTAATTACTTCATTGAAGTCTAATTCAGCAATGTAAAAACAAGAGTTATTTGTATGATAATGTTATTTTGATAAAAACAAAGATTCTCACATGAAATAAAATCTGCAATACAAGTGATGATGCAAAAACCACTTCCTTTATGACCAAATCTACTCATAGCTCCATCTGGTTCTGTAAATTGTTGGCTTCCATTAAGCATTATTGTATTTTCAAATCTCCAATCATATAAAATGCTTTCACAACCTTTGAAACCAAAAATATATGAGCTTCCACCGCCCCCTGAGCTATCCTCATCCCAGTGGTATCCAGATCCACCGTCATACCATCCAGCGCCCCCTGCACCAGCCATATCTGTTGATGTTCCAGGTGAACAATTTGCTCCAATACCAAACTCTCCATTGAATTATCCTTTTCCTCCTGAAGTTTGATTTGCGCCTTCTCCGATAATGGAATCTGATTCATCAAAACGTGTTCCATTATGTCCAACTAATCCACCTGCATATCCCATTTTATCATAATATTCAGCACCTCCTGGAGCACCGCTAACAATTACTCTTGATCTAAAATCTGAGATATTCAATCGAATGTCTGTAGATCCATCGCCGCCAATCCCTCTTTTGACATTATTATATATTCCAATAATAGTACTATTGCCACCGCCGTTATTACCTCCATAGCCGTGTAATTCATTTAAATATTGTGCAACGCCTCCAACAAAAATATAAAATTCTTCTGTTTTGAATGTATATCGATCTCCTCGCACATATGCACCTCCACCAATTCGTCCTGCGCCCCAAAGTTCATATCGATATAAACCTCTTTCAATTCTTACTTTATAAGGCGGACAATATATTTGAGATTCACATTGATATGGGAAATATACTTTTTCCCATATCTATGTGTTATTGAAACATCATAATTCAATAAGGAAAACTCGTTTTAATACTCAATAATTTTTTACTTGTATCTTACAAAGATATTTTAATTGATATTATGTAGGGCCAACAATTTTATACCAAAAATGATCCAAGGAAGAAAATTCGAAAAGATTGGGATTCATATTTCCAATCAAATTTACCTAAAGAAGAATTTATGTATCAAAGCACTAAACTTGATGCAAGAGAATATAATTATCATGTTTCATCATGCAACTTTGACTCGCTAAATACCTTAGGTTCTGTTCATCATCTAATGCTGACATTAAATGTCAGGGCTTTGAAAGGATTTTTGACAAAAAATAAGGTTTATTTTATTTGATTTATACCGTTTTTATTGTATCAGAATAATGTAATTTTAATATCAACACTTTATCAGAACATCTATTATAAGACATCTATTTCTGAAGCTATTGACACATTTCAAGTTGATCATATTTCAAACAGGTTTGAAATTAATTTTTCAATAGAAATGAGGTTAATTCAGAAGTTTGTAATATCATTATATGTTAAAAAAGCTTATTGTAATGAGTATGAAGTTTCCCAAAGTCATTTTAATATCACAATAACACCCAAGAAATGTGAATTTAATTGATACGATAAAAGTCCAGATTATACTCATTAAAATAAATTATCACCATGTATATTAATATGTAAAGATCCTATTTGTTGAATAGTGATTCACTTTAGGATCTTTTTGTCTAAAATTTCTTAAAGAAAAAGTGACATTAATGAATTTTTTGATTTTTCCTTTGTTTGGGAAATGTCAAGAGATAAATGGCATTTTTAAACGTGTTTACTCTGACAAGATTATTGTTTTAGATGTAAGTGGCTCGTCTAAGCAGTATATTAACGGTACAAAACAGCTTACAAAACCAGAATACGCAATTTATCCTTAGGACAAGAGTTATGATTGGTGTTCCAACTGTGGCCGCAGTTATGATGAACACCCTTACATTACATTCTCTCTTACAAACAAAAGGTTTAAAATCAAAGGATATTTTGTTAGATCTGGCTGCTGTTACGAAGATGGATGCTGCTGTGAAGAGTACAGATATTGTGTGAGATGCTGTTTGTTCAGTTGGTCACTACAAATCTCAGATGACAACAAAACATGGAAAGAAGTTCACAGAGTTGACAGAGATTACGAAATGAGAAGATGCAAAGAGAGAACTTACGATTTCGATAAAGAATACACAGCTAAGTACGTAAGACTGATACAGAATGAACCATGCCCTGGAGATCCACCATGTATTGCCATCAACAAACTCGATTTATTAGGTGATGTGATTGGTCCTGATTCAAATCAAATTGAAGAGGATTTTGTTTCATTCCATGATGACGATGATGATGTGAGTATCATTGGTCACATCTCTAAGAACGGCAATGTTAAAATAAACTAAAAAATATTTCATTTTTATTATTATTATTATTTGATCTATATTGATAATTTGATAATTTTGCCTTTCTGTACGTTCAAAGAATAGTTTTGGAATAAAAGAAATGGAATGTACATCATTATTAAAAAAGAAACTAGGCATAATACAAATTCGAATTCATTCTTGGAGACAAATTTTCATCATTGATTGATTTAGAATCATTTTTATCAAATCTGTTCTTGAAGTTGCATCTTCAAACGATGAAGTCTCGTATTCATTATTATTAATACAAAGCGCTTGATAAAATATAGTCTTTTAAAAAAGAAATTGCCTATGATATCAATGGAGCTTTAATAATCAAATTCCAAAATTTTTTTCATATAATAAAATGATAAACTTCTTAATGGTGCACTTACGCCCATATGATATGGCCTTCAATTCAGATGTCTAAGGTTAATTTTCAATGACGCTTCACGTCAGTTGTTAAAAATTTGAATTAATGTCAGATGGGCGTAAGTGCAGCCTTAATAAAAGTTAAATTTTGGCAAGTTCTACTAGACAATTTCATATCGCTCCAAACATCCTTATATTTTAGATAAAAATACACTCAGATATACCAATTATAGCCATTGCATGGTTTCTCAATAAATGAATTTTATATAAAATGCAATTCAAATTCAAATTCTTGAAATAGAAATATATAAACTAAAACAAATAAGTTGCATAGACATTTTATGTGACTTTGTAATATTTTGTACCAAAAATGTTTTTAAACCTTTATTATTTTGGTCAATTTTTTAGAATGTCATGTATTATAACTAAAAAATACTACATATTATAACTATACTAGGTCAGGTAAGTGGGGCTTCCAGGCGCGTTGCGCCCTCTAGCCCATAAGAAATTTTGCCCAAGACCCAAGAGGAGGACCGAACCCCAGCCGACCAGCCGGTGACAAAACCAAAACCGTTGTTATTTACATCATATTAATGGTGTCAATTTTTAAAATGTCACTTTTCTGTCACTTTTCGGGGTAAAAACATTTTTATTATTATATATAAATGAATTTTACAAAACCGCCGTCACCGTTCTTTGGAAATAAGAGTAGATGCAAAGATATTATATTGAGAGAACTTAAGAAACTACCGAATGGTCTAACATTTGTAGATTTGTTCGGTGGAAGTTTCTATATATCCCATTTATGTCATACCGTATTTCCTGACTCAAAGATTATATGCAATGACTTCGACAACTATATGGACCGTCTCAAACATATTCCAGACACAAATAATATATTGAAAGAGTTAAAAGAAAAGATACCTATAGGTAAGATGGAACGTATACCATTAGATAAGAAAAATATTGTGAGAGAGGTTTTGAAAAAAGCAGAATATATAGACTGGGATAGTATATCTGCTAGACTATTATATAGTGGTGCTATAAGAGTTCATGACATTGAAACACTTATGTCAAAAGTTTTATATCTTAACTATACAAATGTTTTCAAAGAGGACATAGAAAAATATATTGAGGGTATAGAGTTTGTGAGATGTCATTGGACAGAGTTGTATGAAAAATATAAAGACAAGGAAAATGTTTTCTTTATAGTGGACCCGCCGTTCTATAACACATGGGATTTTCAATACCAAGTAGACTGGACTTTGAGAGACTCTTTAGAAACTTTAGACGTTATACATAACCATCCATGCTTTTACTTTACATCCGATAAAAGTGGTTTGGAAACCGTTATGAGATGGTTAGAGGACATACATGACTATGAGTTTATATATGACAAGATAGAATATGAGAGAGGTCCTATAAACCGGAGAAAGTGTCACAATAAAGAAATTTTATTAGTAAGTAAATGTGGTTTGAAATAGGACTACTTGTTTTAGGTTTTTTCCATTGTGTCATTTATTTATTTGACGTGGCAGAAAAGTACAGAGAATATGAAGATGAACCAATGCCTGCAAATGTTCAGTATATGTACTCGTAAGAGATATTTTTATCTAATATTAAATGGACGCACAGAACTTAGCGAATGCACAGCAACCTGGACAACCAAACCCAGAGAATATTCCAAATGAAGTTAGAATACAAACTGCAATGGCAAACTATGGTCAAGTGCCAACAGATGTACAAATGCAAACTGCCATGTCAAATGACGCTGCGTTAGGTTTGCCACCATGGTATGCAAATATGAGATGGAAAGAGTTTTATACAAACCCTGAAGTGGGATATAAACAACTTTATGCAGATGACGCGAACACAGGAGTTGACCCAGAATATGTTTTCTACCAGAGGAGAAACAGAATGTATGAGCTCCAGTTAAAGAATGCTATGGAACTCAACAGGAAACGTAAGAGACTAGGCGGACATTAGATTTTTACATATAGTAAAATGGGTTTCTTCAGTAAGATAGGAAACTTCTTTCGAAATGTTGGAAGAGGTATATGGAATGGAATAAAATCTGTCGGAAGAGGAGTATGGAACGGTGTCAAAAATATTGGTAAAAGAGTAGGTCAGTTCGTTGGTATTATACCTAAAGACCCTGAACCAGAAGAGCAAGCTCCTGTTATACAACAGCCTGAACCTGCACCACAGTCTAGTTGGCAACCAAATCCAACACCTCAACCGTATTAAAAAATTATATTTTTATCGTTCGATAGTAGTTGTATATGAAACTAAGTTCTAAGTAAAACGCATGGTATAATGGAATTATTCTTTTTCTTCCATCTGTAGTAAACCATACTTGAAAGTCTGAAATACTTCCACTCGGCGGTTCATATAACTTTGTAGGTTTTTCGTAAAAGTCATTCATCAGACATAAGAAAGAGTTTTGCGCACCAGAAAATGAAGCATGAACAATAATAGCATCTGGGTCGAAAATATTTTCATATGTTCCATTAGGGTTTTCGACTTCATAATAGTCCGGGTGTACTGGATATGCTGCAGGCTGATTTAACATCCTCATAAATCTATACCATGCCAAGTTGTTATATTTTGTAGAAATATAAACGTTTTCTCCAAGGTCTTCTATTTTATTGATTTTAACAGTTGCATTTTTCCTGTCATAAATAATATCGAGATGGTATTCTCCTTCGTCAATGTTAAACTGGTTTGCATATTCAATATAGATATCGTTTATTTTTTCTTGAAAAGCTTGAAGAGTTGTTTCTAAGTTTATAAGCAAATTAACTTGTAAAAGTTTTCCTTGTTCAAATTTCTCATACATACGTTTTTCTTTGTTATAGTATCGAACTTCAAAACCGACCGTAAATGGGAAACCATGTATGGCTTCTGAAATAAACTTCATTCTACGAAAGCCAATAGCTTTTGTGACGGATGGGTCTCTTAAGTTAGTATACATATCATGTGTACGGAGGCACTGCGAGCCTCCTTACCCATTATATGTGAATTTGACACTTTACAAAACTGTTAACGTATATTTTACAACACAAACACAAACACCAACTTAACCTTAAATATTTATAAAGCCGCCAACCACTTCACCTCACTAACGTTTTCACAAACGACTTCACTACTGTAAAAAATAAACGTTCTCACTTACAAAAGTATTGCAACTCTTCCCATTGCTGTGCTTCACACAATAGTTCATATTCTTCAGTATCGCTGCTGTCGCTCCAATCGTCAGAGTCAAAGTCACTGTCAAAATAAATGTTAGTAAGTTTTGACAAAGCTAATGAAACACGTTTACCGTTTGTATCGTATGCTTGTATAAACTTTCCATTCTTCATTCCTTCATAAACGCTCAAACTAACTTTACCCTTTCTCCCTCGTATCTGATAGAATGTATTTTCACGAGGAACGAAGAACAAATTCTTGAACTCATGACCGTTGTAGTTTGTTATCTCAATAGTTTTCGTCATTTATATAAAAATAAAATAAAAATAATTTTAAAAATAAAATAAAAAATAAATGATATTACTACCTTCACGCGTATGAAAACATAGCACACAAATAAATTTAGGTGAAGTGGTGAAATCTCACCTCTTTTTTCACCCGGTTTTTCACCCTGTTGAATTCATTGCTTTATAACTCTCTTCCTTGGTTTCTTTTTAGTTGCTTTCTTCACGTCTTTCTCCAACTTGACTGTCTTTCTTCTTCGTCCATAATGATACCAATTACTTCCACCAGTCAATGGGTCAAATGGTCTTTCATAAGGGTTTCCATACATTCCATAAGGTCCGGATGGATAAACCGCTGGTGGAGAAGAAACATTTTCTTTAGTTCCATCGAATCTATTTAAATGCATTGTTTCACCTTTCATCTGGTCATTAAAGTCTTTTGCGTGTTTTGCAAACTCATCGTCCTTTCCTAAAGCATTTTCTGACTCAGTCGCAACCAAATTGGATGCTTTATTTATGAGCCCTATTTTATTTAATCTTAACTTCTTTGCAACCCAGCCTCCAATCTTCCCTTTATTTGCATCTAATGTCTTCGAAACCCTTCCTCCACTCATTTTATTTACTGCGTCATAAGCTCCAAGTGCTTTTGCTCCAAATGCTAATGCTTTTGTTCCCATTGCGCCTAAAGCTGCCCAAGCTACCATTTACACCATATTAAAATCATCTCTCTTCAATATTATCTCATAAAAGTTCTCGTTACTGGAGAAAGTCAATGAAACATAAGCGTTCTCACGGGCTTCGCCCTCACCGCTTTGCGGTCTATCTAACTTCTTTCTTATATCATCTATACGCTTCAAAATGTCTGAACAATTGCTAACATCTTCTACAACAGTTATTTCATCATGAATGACCTTCAAGAACAAGCTCATTTAATATGCTATTAAAATCATCTCAATAATGAGTCCATCCTTTCCGTCTTTGGGTAGCACAACATCTTTCATTGAAGAAGGTTCGACAAGTCTTATGTTAAACTTACTGACAAAGTTTGTTATACTATAATGCTTTGGCGGCGAATACATATAGTTTGAAAGACATAATATAGATTCTTCAGCAAATTCACTTATACTGGATTTTATAACAATGTTCTCACGAGACCAA